AGCACATATCTTAGTTAAGGGAGCCACCTTAGGGTTGGCAAGAGACTTGAACCTAGAGTGGCTCCCAGGAGCCCAAGGCGATGTCCCCAGTTAGTCCCTTGGGAAGCAGAGGATAGGGAACCTGAAATGACACTATCCCATAGCAATACTGACGAATATCTTTCATATCACCATAGAACCTTCATCTGGTGATGGATGGAGATAGAGACAGAGACCCACACTGGAGCACTGGACTGAGCTCCCAAGGTCCCAATGAGGAGCAGATGGAGGGAGAACACGAGCAAGGATGTCAGGACCACGGGGGGTGCACCTACCCACTGAGACAGTGGGGGCTGATCTATTGGGAGCTCACCAAGGCCAGCTGGACTGTGACTGAAAAAGCATGGGATAAAACCGGACTCTCTGATCATGGCGAACAATGAGGACTGATGAGAAGCCAAGGTCAATCGCAAGGGGTTCTGATCCTACTTCATGTTCCGGCTTGGTGGGAGCCTAGCCAGTTTGGATGTTCGCCTTCCTAGACATGGACGGAGCGGGGAGGACCTTGGACTTTCCACAGGGCAGGGAACCATGACTGCTCTTTGGATTAGAGAGGGAGGGGGAGAGGAGTGGGGGGAGGGGGAGAAGAGTGGGGGGAGGGGGAGGGAAATGGGAGGCTGGGAGGAGGCGGAAACTTCTTTTTTCTTATTCTCAATAAAAAAAAGGAAAAAAGAAAATCAAAAAAAAGAATTTTTTAGTACAATATTTTCTTATTTTACATAGCTATGTTTATTCCCACTCCCTTCTTTCCTCCCAACCCACCCTTTTCCCCCACCCCACCATCCTCTCCTCCCAAAGGGTAAGGCTTACCATGAGGAGTCAACAAAGTCTGACACTTCACTTTGAGGCAAGACCAAAGCCCTCCCACCTATGTCTAGGCTGAGCAAGGTATCCCTCCAAAGAGAATGTACTCCAAGATGCCAGTTCAAACATTAGGAATAAAACCTGATCCCACTGCCAGTGACCCCACAGACTCCCAAAGACTCACAACTGTCCCCCACATTCCAAGGGCTTAGTTTGGTCCTATGTAGGTTACCCTGCAATAAGTTCAGAGTCAGTGAGCTCTCACTAGCTCAGGTCAGCTGTTTCTATGAGTATCATTATCATAGTATTGACCCCTTTGCTCAGATCATTACTCCTCCTTTTCTTGGACTGGTCTCCAGAAGCTCAGCCCAGTGCTTCACTGTAGATCTCTGCATCGCTTCCTTCAGTTGCTGGATGAAGGTTCTATTGATGATTACAGGGGAAGGCTAGTTTAGGCATCCTCTTCAAGTTGCTTAAAGTCTTAATTGGGGTCATCCTGTGGATTCCTAGGAACTTCCCTAGTGCCTTGTTTCTCACTAGCTCTTTGATGGCTCCCCCAATCAAGATCTCTCTTTCCTTACTTTCCCTCTCTATCCTTCCCTCTTCTTGAGCTTCCTGTTCCCTCATGTTCTCCTGCTCCCTCCTTTTCTCCCCTCCCACTCCCCTTTCACCCTCCTTTATCCTCTCCCCATACTCTCAATCTTTTCAGGAGATCTTGTCTGCTTCCCCTTCATAGAGGGATCTAAGTATGTCTCTCTTATGGTTTTCCTTGTTACCTAGGATAGTGGACTATAGGCTGGTTATCTTTTGCTTTATGTCTAATACCCACTTATGAGTGAATACATATTGTGTTTGTCTATCTGGATCTGGGTCACCACACTCAGAATGGTTTATTCTAGTTCGATTTATTTGCATGCAAATTTCAAGATGTCAATGTTGTTTCCTTCTGGGTAGTACTCCATTGTGTAAATGTACCAAATTTTCTTTATCCATTTATCAGTTGAGGGGTGTCTAGATTATTTCCATGTTTTTGCTGGTACGAATAATGCTGCTATGAACACAGTTGAGCAAATGTTCTTGTGGTATAAGTGTGCATCATTTGGGTGTATTACCAAGAGTGGTAATGGTGGGTCTTGAGGTAAATTGATTCCCAATTTTCTGATAACCCTCCACACTGGTTTTCAAAGTTACTATACAAATTTGCACTCCCACTAGCAATGGAGGCATGTTGCCCTTACTCCACATCCACTCCAGCATAGCTACCTTTATTGTTTTTGACCTTAGCTGTTCTGACAGATGAAAAAATGGTATATCAGAGTCATTTTGATTTTCATTTCCTTGATGGCTAAGGATGATGATCAATTCCTTAAGTATTTTGGTCATTTGCAATTCTTCTGTTGAGAATTCTGTTTAGATCTGTACCCTTTTTTGATTGGATTATTTGATATTTTGATGTCTAGTTTCTTGATTTCTTTATATATTTGGAAATCACTCCTCTGTCTGATGTTGGATTAGTGAAGATCTTTTCTCATTTTGTAGGCTGTTATTTTACAATAAAGGGACTTCTGGAGCATTACCATCCCTGACATCAAACTCTGTTATAGAGCTACAGTAATGAAAACTGCTTGGCACTGGCATAAAAACATACAGGTGGACCAATGGAATTGAATTGAAGACCCTAATAAAAAGCCACACACCTATGAACATCTGATTTTTGACAAATAAGCTAAAATTATACAATGGAACAAAGAAAACATCTTCAAAAATGGTGCTGTCATAAATGAATATCAACATGTAGAAGAATGCAAATAGATCCATATCTATCCCCAGCACAATACTTAAGTCCAAATGGATCAAAGACCTAAATCCAGCCACACTGAATCTCATTGAAGAGAAAGTGGAAAGTAACCTTGAATACATGAGCACAGGAGACTATTGTCTGGGTTTTCTGCCCTGCTTGGTTCCCATAAGTTCTAAGTCCCAAAGAAATCACACAGAGGTCTACCTTAGTTATAAACTGAGGCCCATTAGCTCAGGCTTTTTATTAACTCTTATAGCTTATATTAGCCCATTATTCTAGTATATGTTAGCCACATGGCTTGGTACCTTTTTCAGCGGGATAGATCACATCTTCCTTCTTCTGCATCTAGACAGGACTGCAGAGGGAGCTTCCCTCTTCCCAGAATTATCCTGTTCTCATGGACCTGCCTCTATTTCCTGTCTGGTTGTCCCACTTATACTTCCTGCCTGGCTACTGGCCAATCAGCATTTATTTGAAACATAATTGACAGAATAAGGAATTGTCTCACACTAGGAGACCACTTCCTAAATATAATACCAGTAGTACAGACACTGAAAGAAACAAATTAATAAATGGGACCTCTTGAAACTGAGAAGCTTCTGTAAGGCAAAGGACACTGTCAATAAGACAAAATGGCAGCCTAGAGAATAGTCTCTTCTTAATCGCTGCCAATTTCTTAGATCCAATTACCCAGCATCAACTGTCCCAGGAAGCAAAGGATTCATTCACTTAAGTGGTGCTGATCTCTTGTTAATCACTGTTGATTCTTCAGCCCCAGATGACTAGAATCACAAATTTTAATTCAAATTATTACATAAATGATCCTGATAGAGCTTTTTTGCTCCCTCTGAAATGTCTTCAACCAGGCTTCCCTTTTCTGCACTACTCTCAGGTCCACTTTCCAAGCTCCCACAGTAGTTCATCACACTGGGATGCAGTTGTATCCAAGCACCTTGGACTGTTTTAAAGAGACCAAATTTTTAAATACTGTGGGTTTTCAAAGTAATTTATGGCATTAATGTTACTATGAAAAACCCTAAACTCTTAATGACATTTCTAAGACCAAAGCTCACCACCATATTCCTGTCTGAAACACATATTTGGATCTGTTGTAGAAATACCCCTTTCCAGGTACCAATTTATGATTTAGTTGGAGTTTCTATTGTAAATAAATACCATCACTACAAACAAGATGTGAAAGAAAGGGTTATCCCATTTTACAGCTTTTAGTACATCATACAGGGAAGTCAGGGAAGGAACAAACATAATGGTGGAAAATGCAGACAAGAACTAAAGCAGAAGCTACAGAGGAATGGTACTTCCTAACTCGCTCTTCATGGCTTTCTCAGCCTGCTTTTGTATGCCATCCAGGACTGATTATCTAGGGACAGTATCACCTATAGTAGGCTGGACTCTCCCGTATAAATCATTAGTTAAGAAAAATGCCTTATAGAGTTGCCTACAGTCATTTTCTCAGCTAAGAGTCTCTCTACCAAAACAAACAAACAAAACAACAACAAAAGAATCTCTCTTTCCAGATATATTAGGTTTGTTTCAAGTTGGCAAAAATCAACCCGCAAAGTCACCTGCCAAGTTTTATAGAGAGACCTATTAAGAAGGTTTGGAAGCCCAAAATCATACAAAATTTACCTGAGTTTGATGAGATGAATCTTTAAGCAAAAAGAAACATGCTTTAGGGAGAAAGAGAGGGTATGGAATTTGTGATTGTTGTGTCTTTATTTTATCCTGCTTTTCTGGCTAGACAGCAACCTGGTAGGTAGCTGGGACACCATAGAGTATGGGAAAGCTCTGCATCTTTTGACGGTGCAATCATGGGCCAGATCCTTTGTAAA